GTATGAGGGTGTTTCGTCCCACAGTGTGCATTGGTCTTTTTTTTTTTCTCCAATATATTTTATTTAATTTTCTCTTTTTTAACAACAAACCTTCAGACAACAAATTTAACATTATAACATGTACTTTTAAACACTTACTTTCACCCGTGCACTCACCATTCAAACCTGCATTCATTTAGTTCCAACAATATACAAAACCTTTTAGATTAAGACAGAGAAAAATAACAAGGTAATGTATAAATGGAAACTGTAGTCAAGACAGCCATTAATGACTCTACTGGCTACACTAGCCAACATGCATGTTTTAAATTAGTATTTAATATCTAGTATTCTAGTGCTTTTTAGTATGTATATGTTGTGTGTAATGAGTTTTCAGTTTCTTTCTTCCAGAGTCCCGCAGTGGTCTTATTTAGTTATTTTCATGACGATACTTTCTTTGGATTTAAAATAAATAAGCAGCTGTTTTTTTCAAAGATGCTGTTAAATTGTTTCTCTGATCGGGTCAGAAAGGTGCAGTGAGGCTTAAATAGCCTGTTTGGTCGTATAACACCCATTTGGCCTTTTCCCGATCCCATATTTGGATAGACTAGTTCACTAGTTACTAGTACTAGTACTACTTTCTATTCAAGTTTTTAGACTTAGACTTAGACTTGTATTTTATTAATCCCTTGGGAAGACTCCCTCAGGAAATTTAAGTTACAGCAGCTTACAGGGAAAAAAAGTGGCACACAGAGAGCAAAATGCAAAAAAAACAGATTAAGTACAGGTTCGAGCTTTGTTTGTGTGTCTGTGTGTTTTGCTTTTTTAATCAGTTTACAATATTATTTGCAGTTTTTACTGTTAATTGATGCCTTTTCCGTTTGTTATTTATAATTTAGTTAATTTTGTGTTTCTCCCTGAATAAACAGGTCAGTGTCTCTTTACCAACCAGTGTGTGTTATTCAGACTCCCCTAATTCAGATGGCAAGCTGTTATCATAGCATTAGCATTACTATTAGCATCTCCTAACCCACAGGTCTGTGTCCTAACCATTAAGTTGTTATCAGAGTAAATCCCTGTTCAACATGAGTCTGACAACTAAGTAAGTAGATAAATAACTTTAGACTTTAAAACATGCTCTGATAGGCCGGGATTGGATCGGGACATCACTAACATCCTGTGTACAGAATTCAAATAGGAATTTGATTTATATTTTTCCCTTTCAGGTGCACACAGCGGAGACTTCAACCATTTCCCCGACGACCCGGAGTTCGCGGACATCATCCAAAGGGCAGAACAGGCTATGGAGGGCGGGGTCTTCCCAGAGAGGATTTCCCAGGGATCCAGCGGGAGCTACTTCGTCAAAGACCCCAAAGGGGTGAGCTGGACCCTTTATGGAGACTTTTAAGGGCTTTCTATAGTCACAAATACAGTTTATTTTAAACCACAGATAAGAAAGAAGGCAGCTTTCCTTCTGTTAGTTAGACCCCTGATTAGTTATACAGTCATTTTCTCTTTAAATATGCATGAAAAGTGTCTTTTTGTCCTACAAAAATGGAAGAAAACATGTATTGATGAAGTTGTTATTTACCAGGGGAAGCTGAAATTGCCTTATTTCTAACGGATTTTTTATCATTTTAGATTGTAACTGTTCTTTTTCCTGCCACAGAAAATCATTGGTGTTTTTAAACCAAAGTCAGAGGAACCTTACGGTCACCTGAACCCAAAATGGACCAAATACTTTCACAAGGTACGCCATCAAAACCGACGGCCATTTTGATGCGTTTTGTGTTCACTTTTGTCTCATTTTAAATCTCCATTAACTCTCTGTGGCATGGTGTAAACCTCAGGAAACAAAGCACAAATCCAGACTTTTATCTTTATGTGGAGAAAGAAGAGACATAAGAAAAACAAAAGAAATCTCCATTTTTTTTATGTTTGTCCAGATGTTTCTTGAATGTTAAACAACTACCTGGTTAAACATGTAAATCTTTGTCTAAATTAACTAGTTTTTATTCCACTTCTCAGGTTTTGGGATGATTATATGAGCTCCCGAAAAGGGGGTGATATTTATCCAGACTTGTATATTCATGAAGAGACATAAGAAAAACAAAAGAAATCTCCATTTTAGATTTTTGTCCAGATGTTTCTTGAATGTTAAACAAGTATCTGGTTAAACATGCTGTGTACAACTTGTTTATCTTTGTCTAAATTAACTAGTTTTCATTTCATTTCTCGCTATATGAGCTCCCAAAAGGGGGTCAGATTTATCCAGACTTTTATCTTCATGTGGAGAAAGTAGAATAGACATAAGAAAAACAAAAGAAATCTCCATTTTAGATGTTTGTCCAGATGTTTCTTGAATGTTAAACAAATGCTGTGTGCCACTTGTTTATCTTTGACTAAATCAACTAGTTTTTATTCCACTTTTCGGGTTTTAGGATGACTATACGAGCTCCTAAAAAGGGGTTGAGATTTATCCAGACTTTTATCTTCATGTTGAGAAAGAGACACAATAAAAACAAAAGAAATCTCCATTTTAGATGTTTGTCCAGATGTTTCTTGAATGTTAAACATTTACCTGGTTAAAACTTGTTTAATTTTCTCTGAATTAACTAGTTTTTCTTCCACTTCTCCGACAATATGAGCTCTTGAAAAGGGGGTGAGATTTATTCCCCAACGAATGAAAACTCATGCCATAGAGGGTTAAAAGCGAGGCTCTTTTTGTAGCAGATACTGCTGATTAGGGATGTTTTTACGGTCATAAGGCCTGACTTTAATGCCTCCCTCTGTCCCCGTTAGCTCTGCTGCCCGTGCTGTTTCGGGCGCGGCTGCCTGCTCCCAAACCAGGGATACCTCTCAGAGGCCGCCGCCTCTCTGGTCGACTCCAAACTGGGGCTCGGAGTGGTGCCAAAAACCAAGGTGCGGCTCACACGTTATGTTATGTTTCATTTTGTTTATTTTTCCCTTTTAGAACTGCTAATCTGAATATACAACTATAAGCTTTCTACCCGGATTCAAACAGAAATTATGTAATCGACCAGGATTTTTTATCGGCTAATTAACTCATTGACTGCCAGAGTTTTTTGAGCATTTCTACTGATTTTTCAAGAGCCACAGAATAGTTTGTGCTATGACTATGTAAACACTGAACAACACGTTATGTTATGTTTAGTTGATTTATCTTTTTAGAACTGCTAATCTGAATATACAACTCTAAGCTTTCTACCCGGATTCAAACTGAAATGATGTAATCGACCAGGATTTTTTATCGGCTAATTATAAGATCACATTTTCCAGTAGTCGTCATTATGTTTTGTTTATTTTTCCCTTTTAGAACTGCTAATCTGAATATGCAACTACAGTGGGGGAAATAAGTATTTGAGCCCTTGCTGATTTTGCAGGTTTGCTCACTTACAAAGAATGCAACTATCCATAACTTTAATCATATGTACATTCTTACAGTGAAAGACAGAATCCCAAAGAAAATTCCAGAAAATCACA